AAAAAAATAGATATAATAATAAAATGAAAGCAATAATAATAAAAAAACAAAAGCAAATAATTCAAAAAAATACAAGAAAAATTTGTAAATATAAATTTGTTTTCTGTTCGTCTTACAAATTCAGTTAGAGGTTCCTCGCGCAACACATGCAGACGATGTGAAACACTCTTCGGTGTGCATTCGTACATCTTTTGTGATTCTAAGACACAATTCTCCATCACGATATCCGGTAAATCGGAAAAGAGTAAAATGCATTCGTTAAAGCCAGAGCTGAGCAGCGTGCTCTTTAGCTGTTTTAGTATAGAGATGCCGATGAATAGCGGATATGAGCTATCGCCCAGCATGAGCTTGTCCCAGAGGTGCATAATCTTGTGGAGCGGGAAAACGTCTGCAACGATGAGAAATATTAAAAAAAAAAAACATAAAAATAGTAGGAAAAAACAAACAACAAAAACTTACGTGAAAACATGGTGAGAAACCAAGGTATGGCGAATAGCTCCGGTATAAAATTGATACTTGATAAATGGTTAGCCAAAATTGGTTCATGGAATGCTGTGAGTTGGGAAAATTTGCACAGATATTCTTTAATAATCGCCGAATTGTCTCTAAGGAAAAACCATTGAAGATATTTCGGTATAAAGTTGTATAGACTGAGGAAAGCCAACTCTAGAGAGGATTAGCAAACAAAATAACTTGTTCATTATTGTACTACATAAAATATGCGCTAGAAGTCACCTTCATTATTAAAATTGAGATATAAAAATGGTGCCGTCAGTGAATCCAAGCCCTGCCAATACACATATTGAGGATGAGAAGTCACCCAGGCTTTTAAAAGCCGTTTCAGCTTGCAGTGACCCACCGGCGACGATAGTAACTCATCATATTGATGACAGCGAGGTATGTCTACTTCGATCTGTTTATAAGTAATTCAATTAAAAAATAGAATATTGAACATTTTGACACACTCACCTGACGATCGGTGGAGGTCGGCGTAAACTTGTCAATCTTCTCATAACTGCCAATCGGTATTACATCGAGCAGGCAAGCCCAAATGGGGCCACGCAAATATGGTGGTATATCTTTGGCAGCCTCCTTGCGTATCATGTCACTCGTATAAGGATAACCCTAAAATGGAAATATTGATATTCTAGCTACAATCCCTAACTACACACATTTACACCGATTACCTTAAGTAATCTCGAGAAAAGTCGCACGCGATAAAATTGATATTCGATATCTTTTTCACGTATAACCAGCGGCAATTGCGCCATACTAGCACCGAAATTGTGTGGAAACTTCGGGGAATGTATTAGGGGAAAATATGCCATGACTGGTAGATTGCATAGCTTTTCAAAGAGATTATTCAATTTTAGTGGCACCACGCGATCATCCATGAGATAGCTCTGACTGCGTTTTGGTCCGACAATTGCGCCATTGAGGCAAACTATTTGCGGTATGGCTAATATTGGTGCTTCGCTGCGAATAAGGCCTTCCTTTTTCAATTCACTCTGAACATCGCCGCCAGCTAATTGCCACCAGTAGTAAATCTGTTCAAGTGGACAACGCAGTAGTAAAACGTTGGATTTTGGTGGTTCAGTATATGCGTATGTAGTGACATCTTTTGAAAAATATGGATGTGTCAGAAGTTCCGTTGGCAGTGGGCGTTTCGATGGTGCAACATTTAAGCAGGTTTCAACCAAAGCACATAATTCTCCATTAATTTGCGCATATCGTTCCAGACAGTTGTGTTCCCGTGCGATTTTTTCAAACACATTTTCTACTTGCAAAAATGAAAGTATTTTACGCGTTATATTCGAGATTTTCATGCCAGACCAAAAGGTTGTCTGAAGTAGCAATTCAGCCATAATCATGCCCAGTGACCAAATGTCGCTTTTTATGTTATTTTTCGCACCAAGAAATCGTTCCGGTGGCATGTAACGAACATTTCTATACATTTATAAGATTGTATAAAAAAAATATCAAAATGCATTTATTTTCTCATAGCTTACCCGATGGGAAAGGGTACGTAGTCTCCACACTTCGTCATATGATATAATCCGTAGTTGAAAATTTTCACATTATTGCAGTCGTCCAAGAGTATATGTTTTGGTTCCAAATTATGTACAACTAAATTTTGTTCTGCTAGCTCTTTAAGTGCGCATATAATTTGATAAAATATCCGAGCAATCAAAGTTTCAAGTAAAGAAACGCGTGATTTGTCCTGCAAGGTGGTGCCAAAATATTCAGATACAACGATTGTACGTTCTGTATGTTAAAGAAAAAAACTTGTATAATATGATATGTCTTTGAAGGGGGCGTAATCTGCATACGTACCATGTTTCCCACGCACAAAATCTAAATATTGACACAAATGCGGATGTTTCAAATCCTTGAGCCTTTGCGCGCGTCCCAATATTGCAATCGAGTTTGGGGTCAGAGGTAAACCATTGCTACCACATACATCACCAGGATGTGTTTTCGCAAAGAAAGTGATTGCAGCCAAACGAGATTCAGGTTTACTTGATGGTTGATGCATCTCATCAGAGTACAAAAAACAACGTTCAACCAGAAAATTTTGTTTTATTTTACCAATACTAAAGCAACAACATTTCATTTAATACTGCACCGTCCATATATTGAATGATATTTGTTGGAAAAAAAATAAAATGCCGTGCTAAAACAATTTAGCAAAAAAAAATTATTGGAATGCGGCAAAAATTTGTATTTGTTTATTTAATCAGCTGATGCCCGAGTGAAAACACAGATGTGTTACATCAATTTTGTAGTGTTGCCAAATTTTTGTTTAAATAAAAACAGGTGGTATAAAAGAAATTAAAAGAAAAGCCGTTCTGCTGAACAATTGCCCGAATAAGAAAAGGATTTATTAAAATATAAAACAAAAATGGTATAATATAAAAAAATTTTTGTTGTTTATATATTTATTTTTGTTTATATTTTTCTCCTAAAACGGCAAGGCCAAAACTCGTTGAGATAAATAGGAAAGTAAGTTAGCTGCATTTCTTACTCGATGTTTTTCACTCGTTCATTTGGATCGAGGCATGCTCTACGACTACGATATTAACATCGTTCTTTTTCGTCTTGAATTTCATCGCGTGCACATGTGTGAATTCTTTTTAAAAATTGTCGGCGCTCGGAGTCTGAATTGGCAATGGTAATTATTTCTTTCCTCAGTTATCTAAATTGGTGTTTAATTTTTGTTGATGATACCAGATGACGAGACTGAGTTTAGTATTTTATCGCATTCTTCTTTGTATTTTTCATTGAAGTTTGCAACACAAAATACCAAGACAAATGATTAGTCGGCAACGCTGAAAAAGTGCTCAAGTCTTTTATTCACTAAAACTTCATTATGTTTAATATTAATTATATATATGTTTCTCTTATAGGTAAAGATGAAAGCAAGAATTGAAGGACGCATTATGAAAGTTTCCTGACATTTTTGTTAAAAAAAAATTGGAATGAATAAAAAAGTGTCAACACCGTTACCTAATAAGGTATTGATTTCGATGAATCCTCCCTCTTGATTCAATTCTCGCATAAAATGGTACGCAAATTACACTTGCTTAAAAGATCTCATTACCTGATGAAAAATTGCACAGACCTGTTCTGATATATTTAATGATAGATATGCTTATCTACTGATTTAAAAATTAAATAAAACTATGTTAAATTGCATAAAAATATATATTTCAGATATTTGTTTTATATTTGTAGATACTCATGAAAACGCTAAAGATTGACGTATCGCAACACTGCGAAGGACATCCAGTCGAAAATGGTTAGTACTTTGTATTTAAGTTTTCCATATAGTCTTTTGTGATGAAACTCTGCTTCCGAATAACTTATGTGGATTATAACAACTCAAGCTCAACAGGACTGATTTGCTTTAAAACTATTTTTTTTTTCTATCAACTGTGAAATCCTTATAAAATAATTCTTCATATTTTCAGATCATTCACTTGTGATCATCAACATCTCACAATGGCGTATTCTGGATTTTGAAAAGGTAATTATTAAAATCAATTGAAGTAATTGTAAAAGTAAATGATGATAAAACATGGCATTTCCTTTTGCGGTTTCCACCGGAAGTTTACTAATGACGGTTAGGACGTCTGATACTTAGTATTCCGTAATCCTTTTTATTTGATGTTCGACAAAAACTTAATCCATGTTTTTCCTTTTTCAGGTCTCTTCATATTTGGAACACCCGCGATTAAGATAGAAATGATTAACTAAAGGTGTGTGTTGTACCATGAAATGTTTGTATTAAATTTTATATGATGATAAAACATGGCTTTTCCTTTTGCGGTTTCCACCAGAAGTTCGCTTATGATGGCTAGGATAGATAGATAGATAGATAAAGATTGAGGATTGCACCGCGACCTAGGGTCTATTGTGCCCTCTACTAACTCACAGCGTCTCACTTAGCCCCAGCAGATTGATGAATTCCAATATTCTGCTAGGTGCTAATGAGGAGATGTGATCCCTATTTAGAAACATGGATCCAAGGGCCTTAATCCTGCGTCTGCAGATTGCTGGGCAATCCANATTAGCAGCTTTGCGTGACGCAAGCCAGGAAGTTTTTGCCAATGTATCTCCCTACCCACTGCTGCATCCTTGCGGAACTGTTCCTTTATGGTGTGGGGACCTACCGCTATAAAGGGTTCTGGCCCTACCATGTTTGTGGATGCTGCAGTGCGGGCAAGCTCATCGGCCAGTTCGTTTCCGGCAATGCCTTTGTGGCTAGGATTGTCTGATTAAACAAAAACTTCTTAGCACATTTTTAAACATTTATATATTAGAGTCTAATAAATTGTTTTCCTTCAATTTCAGGTATTGAATATCAAAAGTTGAATTAAAATAAAATAAATTAACATACAAATTTTGTTTGGCTTTTCAATATTAAGATTGAGAGGAAAATATATAAAAAGCAATGCTTATGCAATATTTAGGTGTCACTAAGATTAAGAAATTTCAAAAGAGTAAGTATGGACAGGTGTATTGTAGTAGCGCCAGAAAGCATTTATTGACTGAGAGTTGCCGACCAGGCGGCAGGAAAATAACAGCCTTTGGCTGAGTAATTCGTACCCGCGACACCATTTATATGGGCAAGTCGTCAACAGAGATAAATCCCTGTTCAACAGTATTCCTTCAAATTACTTTAGGGCTATTTTCAGCCGTTAGAATAACATTAAAGCAGAAAAACAAGTATCGAAATATTGGTACTTGCTCAAACACATCAAAATGCCGACATTTGAAAAAATTTTATCTTGTTCGCCGCTATTTCTATAGAAGCACAAAAAAAACCACCTTTTATTAATTTTTCGGTATTTCAATTTACGAAATTTTGATTATAATTGCGTTATACACCCTCTAACTTTTTTATGTGGTAAGGTTTTATATTTACCAAAACAGATTTTTAGTGAAATATTAGTCTTTATACAAATAAAATAACAAGATATTTAGATTTTTTTTATATTTATTTATTGGTTCTTAGTTAGAACTTCATTAGCATTTAAGCTTCGACTTGGTGACGAGGTGCACTTCCAGGCTTTTCAGCCAAGAAGTCAGCGAATTCTTGGTATGGAGTAGCACCCAAAGGCATTTCCTTCCACAAATCGGGAGTCAAGTATGCGTATGTCTTGGCGATGGCAGCGTAGGTGGCCTTTGCAAAGTTACCCAAGGTACCAGTTGAACCACGAGCTGATGTATAACAATCCTCAATACCAGCCATAGTCAAAAGTTTCTTAGGGACTGGAGCTGACACAATACCAGTACCACGAGGAGCTGGGATCAAACGCACGGATACGGAACCACACTTGCCAGTAACCTTGCATGGCACGGTGTGCGGTTTACCGATCTTGTTACCCCAATAACCACGACGTACGGGTACCACTGATAATTTAGCCAAGATAATAGCACCACGGATAGCGGTGGCTACTTCCTTGCTGCACTTAACACCAAGACCAATGTGTCCATTGTTGTCACCGATAGCAACAAAAGCCTTGAAACGTGTACGTTGACCGGCACGGGTCTGTTTCTGGACAGGCATGATTTTCAATACCTCATCACGAAGAGCTGTGCCCACAAAGAAATCGATGATTTCGAACTCTTTAATTGGCAAAGAGTATAGATAGATTTCCTCCAATGAGTGGATTTTTCCATCACGCACTAAGCGACCCAATTTGGTAACTGGAACCCACTCCTTGGAGTCCTCCTTGCCTCCACGACCACGTCCACGGCCACGACCGCGACCACGTCCACGACCTCCACGGCCACCACGAGAACCAAATCCTCCACGGAAACCACCACGGGCTGGAGCTGCGTCCGCCATTCTGTAAAACAAATATACATACATATTTTTATTAGTCACATATTTTTGAGGTTATGTTCTGCAAGTGATGCTACTACAAATAAAATCAGACACCTTTAAGCCATCTTTAAGTTACTAAGCAAATGCTAAATAACTTTCTGGAGGAAACCGCAAAAGGAAGATAAATTGTATCATCACTAATATTTAATAAACATATTTAATTAACATTATTTGATGAAGCCACGTGGGCTTCCGTGTAAAACAAAAAAATGTTTCACTTTACGCATATAATAAACAACTACGGGTTTAATTTAGGATTAAATTAATTAACCGAGTGATTTTTGAAAAGACTTTATGTTTTAATATAAACTAAAATTAAATCCGTAACAAAAAAAAAACCGGGACTTACCTGTAGTTAAATCAAGTAATATCGGTGAAGGGAAAAAACCGAATGAACGAGTCAACGGATTTCGCTTTTACAGGAACCATTTTGATAAAAACGGCGAATTGAAATTAATCGCTCGTTTTATACCGAGCTCTTATAGGGTTTGTTCCGAAAGTAATTTCGGTAAATGTTCCGTAGGGCGGCTTTTCTGAAAACGTGCACAAATTTTCGCGGAAAATGTTTTATTTCCCTAAATCAAATATTCATTTTTTTACTTAATACGCCTTTAGATGTTAGTAATATATTTTCTGTCAATTATATGCTCGTATTTATTGATGTTGTTTATTTTACCAATAAGAAAAATTGATTTTTATGTTATTTTTATAAAAATATTCACAATCACTCCATTTCAACGAAAATAGCAAGGTTATGTTCGAAATTATGGCATCGTTGTTGTAAATATTCGAATTTCCATTTTTGATTCATGCACTTCTCGATATTCGAGACTGATCGAGAATTAGTAAAAGCGCTCCTAAAAAAATAACCTTGGTTTGTCCAAAACCGCGTTGGTCATAATCCTTCTGTGTCCAACTTCTTCTTTTTTCTCTACTAATAATGAATTATAAATTTTCCTCTTATATATTTCTCCTTTTTACCAATTCTCGATCAGACTCGAATATTGAGAATTCGATGTTTAAATTTCTTTTTATTTTTCTATTATGTATCCCTCATTTTTTCAATTCTCGTTCAGTCTCGATTATCGAGAGTATCGATATTTCGAAACTGATCACTGCTTGTATCACTAGTGCCCAATTGAATTTCGAACAGTGATGCCATTCATAGCGTAAATATCATGCAAAATCGTAATAATTTTTTTTATAGTTTTTATTGCAAGAAAATGTAAAAATAGATAACGCGCCATATATATTCGTAAATTGAAATTAAAAACACGATTTTTAAGACATTTCCCGTGAAAATTGGTACAC